CGGCGTTGGTGTGGGCAGATCTTCCATGCTCGTCGTTGGCGTGGGCGCAGTTGCAGTGCTCGGCGTTGGCGTGGGCGGATCTTCCATGCTCGGCGTAGGCGTGGGCGCAGTTGTAGTGCTAGACGTTGGCGTGGGCGTGGTCACCGCCGATCCCGGCATCTGGTTCAAGATAAGGGCGCGCTCCACCAGGTACCACGCCTTCACCTGCTGGTCCATCGTCGACATGTCTGCTCCCATCAGAAGCGCCAGGTTGGTGTTCCTCTTCTTCGCGTCGACGTTTGGTCCTAAGAAGGTCGAGTTGACGTCCTGCTTCGTCAACAACGCCGACCACCTCACCTCGGACTTCTCCTCCCGCCAGGTAGTGAAGTCTGTTTTAAACCTTGAGAACGTAGAGCTTGTATGAAACAAACCCTGTCCTCCAAATTCCTGAAATGCGTGTCATGTCCTTTATAAACCCGGTCTCTTCTAACCTTTTGCGTGCATCCAAAACGGTAGATTCCCACGTGGCTTGGGATTTGCTAGGGATCGGGCTGAGTTAGCCGCCTGCAGGTGGGCCCGAGCTGTTGTGCTCGTCCGAGGCGCTGGTACTGGTCGAGCCGGACCAGGTCGGTCGCTCATGTCCCTCGACCAGTTCGCCTCGACCCTTCCTCTCCTTTCTCTCCTGCGACGCTTGGGCTCCTGGCTATCGGCGGTGACGACGGCCTGGATGATCGCGGCGGCGCTGGGCGACGACTCGTGTGGTGAACAACAAGGTACTACATGGCCCATCTCCTCTGTTAGTCGCCGCACCCATGGTCGTTCATATCTGCCATTTGTTTCGGGTTTTAGGATGGATTTGGGGACGATCAGACAGGGATTTGGGTTTTAGTCGATTTATTTTTCTATTCTAGCTTGTTAATGACTTCAAATGGTTGCAATGTAGGAGCTTTTCTTTGAATCCATGGATCCGGGAGAGATTTTAAAAGTGAGGTGGGAATTTATCAGAATTGGGCCATCTCTGGATTATGTTGGTGGAGATGGAGGCAAAGGCAAGCCCTCCCGCATGGCCCAGCCCATTCCAGCCCAATAGAAGCCCTGGAGGCAGACCAAAACCCTCGTCCTCGACCACTCTCCCCACCCTATTCCACCGCCCCCCTTCCTCCCGCCACCAGCCCAACCTCGCCGCCGGCCTCACTCTCCCTCTATCCTCCGCCCCACCGCCCGGCCTCCCACCACCGGAGCGCGCCGCCCTCCCCGTCGAAGAAACCAGAACCCCTCGCCCTCCGCGTGCCCTCGTCAGCTCGGCCGCGATGATCTCCGCCATGTCCTGGGTCCCCAGGGGCGCCGCCAAGAGCGTCCCCATCGAGGCGGAGCCGCCCACCAAGGAGGAGATCGAGGAGGCCATGAAGAAAATCGCCCTCGGCAGAGAGTAAGCTCCCCGCGGCCGCTTTCCTCCCCCCCTCCTCCTCTTCCTCCGTTCCGCCCTTCTGAACCGTGCGGTGTCTGCTTGCAGGGCCGGGAGCGACGCCGACGACGCGGACGGGGACGAGGACGACGACGCCGTGATGGAGGTCGACGGCGCCGAGGACGAGGAGGTCGACGAGGTCGCCCAGGCCAAGGCCGCCGCCAAGGCGCTCGGGACCAAGAGCAGCTCGGGCTCGGCCGCCGTCGGCGACGTTTCCGACGGGCTCGCCGAGCTCAACATGGACGCCTACGACGACGAGGAGGATGGTAGGCGCTCGCGCTCCCCGGACTGACCCCTCCCCTGAGTTTGTTCAGGTCTCGACTGATACTTAGCTGTAACTTATGTTCTGGTCAGGGCTCGAGCTTTTCAGCACCGGGCTGGGGGACTTGTACTACAAGAGCAACGAGGAGGACCCCTATATCATCAAGAACGAAGAAGATGTGAGTATGCTTTCCCTTGCCATGATAGAAATATGCTAGTATTGGCTATCGCGTTTGAGGTGAATGACCCTCCTTCACTGCCTTATTAGGATGATGGCGAGGATGACGATGAGGAGATTGAGGACATGACTATCAAACCTACTGATATAGTGATTGTTTGTGCTCATAACGAGGATGAATTCAATTCTCTCCAGGCAAGTGTTGAGTAAACATTTCCTTATAGCATCTTGTAAAAATGATGCCATGCTTCCTTTTTTCATACTTATACAAGAATGTAAAGACCAAGCTCTTATGTGGAGCAATCGAATTCTGGGCTTAATGCTGGTTGTATTGAGTAAATATGTAAGATTGATTAAGGCAGAATGTACTTAGTTCACATTAGTCTCCATATATTACTCCGTGCCTCTCTTTGCTGGGGGTTACTAGCTCATATAGCCTCTGTTTTCGGTTGGACTGCATGAAGGTGTGACCAGTGGCCTTATTATGTATGACAGGTTAGTATAGTGGAAGAACTGGAAGATGGGGATCCTAATATGTTTGTGCACCATGAGGTCCCTCTCTCAGATTTTCCGCTCTGCACAGCTTGGATGGATTTTAACCGTCAGGATGGCGAACAGAAAGGTTAAATTGTGGTGTCACTTGAGTTTTGACAAGTAAAGAGTTGCCAAATTGTTTCTGCAGAAGAAAGCTATATGCTAAGGCTTTACTCTGTTCCTCGTCTTGTGCTGCAGGAAATTTCATAGCTGTTGGCACCATGGATCCTACAATTGAAATATGGAACTTGGATGTCGTAAGTTTTCAGAAACACACGTGACTATTATTTCGTAAATGGCCTTGAATTGCTCTGCTTCAGAGAAATTAATGTACTGTTTTGTGGACTTTCATGTTATGTAACAGGTCGACGAGGTCGAACCACATTATGTGCTAGGAGGAGTTTCAAAAAAGAAGAAGAAAGTTAAGGGGAAAAAGGTATGCTACTAATATTCCATTGTTGAGATATTTTGAAGTTTTTGATTGCTTATTTGCTTCCCGTGACTCCTTTTCTTGCTCTCATTGTTAAGTCTTATCTTGACATTCCCAACATCCCCCCAATTTTATGTTCTTTTCCCCTTTGATTTCCATGGCAACCACAGCAGGTTATCATGTGGGGAAATCTGCAACCTGGTCTCGTAGTCTCTAAACTTAGGCTAGATTGAGATTGACTGAGAGTGTGACCTAACATTACCAGTATGTTGCCCGTGTAGCTTACTAGCTTCCTATCCCACTAAATGTGCTGAAATGGATGGTTGAGATCCAGGCTAACTCCACCTAAACAGAAGGCACATGAAACGAGATTGAATTGATCTATTCAATTGTTCCTTGCTATATAAGTATGTTACACAGGTCCTAGTAGGTTCAGTAAGTTAAGGTGTAGATTGTGTTGCTTTTTGGCTGTCAAATTGACTATGTTGGTGCAAAATGATGCTGATTGGATGAGGGTACAATGTGTGTAGAACAAATGTTGGTACTTCGTATTCATGATATTATGATTCACGTATGCCTGTGAGTGGGTGAGCATTCATTCCTTCCTTGAATCCTTAGCTACATTATTCATGCTGCATGTCATCTGCAGGGAAAAACATATAAGAAGGGTAGCCATAGAAGTTCTGTGCTTGGTCTTGCGTGGAACACGGTGGTGAGGTGCGTTTTGGTTTCAGCTCAAGTGACCGCATCTCCCACTCTCTTATCACTTACTGGACCCCTGCTGATTACTCCTTTACTTCAGGAATGCTCTAGCTAGTGCAAGTGCAGACAAAACTGTGAAAGTTTGGGACTTAAGTGCTGGTAAATGTTTAGTCACACTGCAACATCATGATGACAAGGTGATAATTGATACTACATTCTTCTTGAATTCTGTATGTATTGGTCCGAAATATTGTGATGGCATATTTTCCTTCTGCCCAACATGTAGGTTCAATCAGTTGCCTGGAGGTCACCTGAAGTTCTTCTCAGTGGATCTTTTGATAGAACAATTGCCATGGTAATGGATGTCCTTGGCTATCATGTGAATTATTCTCCTGAAGTTTCTGCTGCTGCTTATTACGTATTCTGGTTGTTTGTCACTTGACTAGAGTGTATCAGCATGCTGATCTCTAGCATGTCAGCAAATAATAATCTCGTCCACTTGTGTAATTGAGCTGTGGATACTAACCAGTTTTGGATGAGTAGCCACTAATTAAATGTGATCATACTAGTTATATAACATATTGCTTACTACTACCTTCTTCTTTTGGTTCTGGGAGTTCACCTTCATAGGTGAAGAAGATAATTTGATTTGCCATTCTTGTGAAGCGGACTGTTGTGTTACCATAGATATTTTGAGATGCAGTTCAGTGTTTATTTGACATTCTTGTTGAGAAGGTTGTTGCTTATTTTTATATATTTTGTACTTACATCCACTGAACTTATATTGGTAACATTTTACAGACAGATATGAAAGACAGTGGACAATGTTGTCATAAATGGCCTGTCGAAGCAGATGTAGAGAGCTTAGTTTGTGATCCACACAATGAACACTCCTTTGTGGTAAGTGAATTCATTGTATTTTACGTATATGCTAAAATGGTTCAACTCAATTATCTGTCGTTTTATAGAACAATTGCAAATTTCTGACAGACAAACAACCTTGTGCTAAGCTTTAGTGAAGTTTCCATTAGAAACAACATGATTGAAATCCAGATGAAAAGAGTTCTGCTTTTTCATGAAGCAAGTCTGTAGTTAGCATCTTTGGACCCCTGCAGTTAATTATTTAAGGCTATACTATAATCTCAGAATGAATTTGTATTTCTGTTTTTCTTTTTGTTGCATGTGTTATATACTCGATGGTATAATAATGTGGATGCTGGGTCTTGCAGGTTAGTCTTGAAAATGGGATGGTTCAAGTATTTGATATTCGGACAGCTTCATCAAATTCAAATCCTGGACAGCCGATTTTTACTCTGCATGCACACGAAAAGGCCGTTTCTTCCATATCTTTCGCACCTTCTACCCCTAATGTATGTTACATTTTCATTTCAGTGTGCTAAATAAAGAGAGATGCAGCCACATCAACCGAATTACTGACCCTGCCATTTTTTTTGCAGTTTCTTGCGACTGGTTCAACTGACAAAATGGTGCGTTTATTAACTTTGCGCTGAAGAAGCTATTAACACTCGTGGTATTGATCCAACCAGTTGCTTACATATCTATCTGTAAACACAGGTGAAGCTCTGGGATCTATCGAATAACCAGCCTTCGTGTGTCTCGTCGCTGAATCCTAAGCTTGTACGTATTCTGGCCGAATTACACCCCTTGTCCATCTGTAGAAGGAAAGAATTACTGCAATGTGGAGCTATATTCTGTTCCAGGGAGCTGTACCATGTTGCTCATCCATCTGTTTTGTTGTTTCCAGGGAGCTATATTCTCGGTGTCGTTTTCGATCGACAACCCCTTCCTGTTAGCGTGCGGAGGATCGAAAGGCAAACTGAAGGTAAGCACCACCCCCTTGGTATACGTGGTCTGTCGAAGCTTCCATGTGTGGCTCTTCCACTGACGGACACTTCTCGCGTGTTTGGCAGGTCTGGAACACACTGTCTGAACCCGCCGTCGCCAACAAATTTGGTAAGGGGCGGCAAATTGCACCAGCTCTGCGAAGCGAATCCCCCACAGAATGATGGGCTCGAGCTGTTTCTGGCTATGTGGTAGAATAGATTTTTTCGCGTTTCAGTTTTGTTACTGGGTGCAATGTAATGGGAGCATGGATTTATTTATATATGTACAACCAAACGACAGCTGAAATGGATCTGTAGCGGGAGTTCGCAGTTTATCATGGATTCCGTTTTATTTGGACCTAGAAAAAGGAAGTCAAAGATAGCTGTTTTATACTCCCTCTGTTTCAAATGTTTCAAAATGTAAGGTGCATTAGTCTTCAGAGAAGTCAAGTTAGCTGTTTTATGCCCCCTCTGTTTCAAAGCGCGATTGACCAGTTCATGGGCATTTAGTTAAATACTCCTTCCGTTCCTAAATATAAGTCCTTTTTGGGATTCCATTATGGACTACATACCCTAAATATAAGTCTTTTAGAGGTTTCATGATGGACTACATACAGAGTAAAATGAGTGAATCTGCACCCTAAACTATGTCTATATACATCCGTATATAGTTTGTAATGAAATTTCTATAAAGACTTATTTAGAAACGGAGGGAGTATAATTCATACTACCTCATTCAAAATCTAGACCTAATTAATACTATTGCTAATAGCAGTGGTACTATATCATACAAGGCAATAAGTATCGAAGAATCACAATTTGGAAATATAGAAATATAAACATAAGAGATAATTCCATGTTAAAAAAAAACATAAGAGATAATTCCGACAATCAATAATTTCTTAACCTGTTTGTATTTTTGTCACCAATTATTGAAACTTGTCTAAAAAAGAGAAAAATAATCTTGATTTATGTGCCAGGGGCCTTCACTGAGGGTACATATTTATAAAATAATTCCAAATTTATTGTTCGGTGTTTACTGCACGGGATCGGGTTGAGTTATAGAACCGGATCTCAATTCTCCTAGTCTCTCTATATCTACGAGTAATGTGTTGATTGATAGGAAAATATTCTACAATAAGTAAATATTTCTCATTGGCAACCAAAGTGAGTGCCTGCCTAGCTACTGCTGTATCGGCCAGGGTATGGACAAGTACACGATTCGCATTCTTGCACTAGCCCTATTGTCTCTATATCTCGTACGCTCTGCTACTGTTGCTCAATGTAAGCACAACAATCAGGTTATGCACACTTAATTTTCCCTCCTTATCCTGGAAGTATGTAGTAGAGCTACTAAAGCCTTTTTCATTTGTTTCTTGTCTAATCTGTTGCACAGTTATTTATTCACTCTAATTTTTCTTTTGCATAACAGTTGTTCGTTTGTTATCCCATAGGCCGAATCATAGATGACATCGCTAGCGAGAAGATCGATTTACCAAACGGGCTATGCGTTAAGAGTAAATGCCGTAGTACTCCAGAAGATTGCGTCTGTTGTTTGGTAGATAACAACTGCCACTGGACTATGGCCGAATGCAAGGCAGCGTGTAACAAATCCTCGTCTTCACAAGACATGCTACTGGCGACGACAACCCCTCCTCCTTTACCCGCTCCTTAGTTTTCCAGCCTAGTCAAATTGGCTTACACATTTACATGTCCCGAGAAAGAAATAATGCCTGATATATGTGTGTGGAAATACAGTTGTGCAATAAGATCAAGTAATACTCTACTACTCTAGCAATTGTTGCCATTTGGTTCGGCAAATTGCGTTTAAAATTTTACCAATTATGCCGGCTAAGTTCTAGCTAGTACAAGTTCGCGGTATGAAGGACCTTCACACTTTGCTACTTCTCGTTGTCTGGAAATTGTGGAAGCACCGAAATGATACGCTACTCCCGTGAAGTGCATCCCTCATGGTAGAAGATCACGGTATGAAGGACCTGCACACTTTGCTATTTCTCGTCGTCTGGCAATTATGGAAGCACCAAAATGCGGCGGTTTTCGATGGAGATACTCCATCGGTGCACGGGGTAATCGGGAAGATAGGCAGAGAGGGGCGATCTTCGATGGAGGCCGGGCTACTCCGAGGGGATCTCGAGAGTTTGAGCATAATTGGTTCTCTACCAACATTTGGCATTGCCAATATTTGATAAGCCAACATTTGGCAATATCAAAAGTTGCCAACATTTGGCAAATTTTGCGAGATTGGCAACGAGCATTGGCAAGCAACCAATCTCTAGCCAATATTTGGCAGTTGCCAAAATTTGGCATGCCAACTTTTGGCATCAAATCATTTATGCTTTTTATTTGTCGAGGTGTTTAGGCGGGTGAGTAGTGAGTAGTTCACTTATCTCGGGGAGTCACGTGGGCTTCTGCACTAGTTGTAATTTGGTGGACAGGGTCCTATCCCTTTTCTTTTATTAACACAAGATACACACTCATGCGTATTCTAAAAAAAAGTTTCTACTCCCTCCATCCCATAATATAATAATGTTTCTCAAGCTAACATAGGTCGAAAAATGTTCTTGTATTATGAGACGGAGGGAGTAGTTTTTTTTTTTGCGTGACAAACTTTCAATCTATTCATCATCTTTCAAGGCAGTACGAGTAGCTAGTAATACAAGTATACAACCTAGGTAATGTGAGGTCTAAACCACAAGAGCCTTTTCTTGATACACGTACGTTGAGCAAGCGAATATGAACCGATCGATTGCCGTGTGGAGAAAAGAGGCAATGAGTCTCTTGAAAACAAGGTCTCTATGTGGTTCTAATTCAGCACTGAAACACATCTCAAGTTTTACAAAGATCTCTAAGGACAATCGCCACACTACTGATTTAAGAAAGTTGATTAATTGTGCATATATAAGTTGTTAATACATACTCTGATGATTATATAATTAAACGTATGAGATTATAAAAGATAAAATCATGTAGCCAAGCGAAGGGACAATCTGAACAAGCAGGCATAAGAAATAACCGAGTATTTGACAAAAAAACTGCCCCAAGGGTTTCCATCCCACTGAACAAACATTATATCGTTAGATTCGTATTTGAACATACTTTTCAATGATATAATTTTTTGTGACATGCATAAATATTTTTTAGTTAAACTTATGGTTAAAATTTGCCATAAAATATAATGGGACCAATAAACCAGGACGGAGGTAGTACGGGCCAGGGATTCATTATGCGGTGTTGAATAAGTTGTGGCCCCACGTACGGGTGCTCACAGAATCGACCAGCGGCATGCTACTAGGGTGGATACTGGAACACAAGGCTGACCTTAGGATGCACGATCATGTATTGGATTTGGTGAAAAATGCAACCAAGGATGAGACAGGAGGTGGTCGGATGTAGTAAAAGGGGCTTGTATGGTATTATTATGAGCTGAGAGATAACAAAAAACATAAAAGAAACCTACACCAGAATCGGCAAAACAAATCAGCAAAGATAGCAGTCATACATCTTTGACAACACCTCCGCCACCACCTTGCGCACATACTACTATCCTGTCAATGCCAGCAGAGCTGAGTCCTACTCCCTCCATCCGAAAAAACTTGTCCCTACATCCCTTAAATGGATGTATCTAGCATTAACTTGATGCTAGATACATCCATTTGAGAGAGAAAATTTTCGGACAGAGGGAGTACTTAGTAAACTTTGCACCTTTTCAAGGATGGAGGGAGTACTATTCAACGTGGGCGTGCTCTATTTTTTGCCTGATTTGATTTTAAATAGTTATAATCCAGTCTTTTTCACAGCTGGATGGCCGCGATTCTCCGACCTGTGTCGTTGTCATAATGTCATCGTGCGGTTTGTGTCTGTGCGTTTTGACGAGCAATATCCGAAGAGTTTCATCAAATTTGAAAGAAAGGTAGGAGTAGTTTTCAAATATAGGAGTA